GAGAACATTAAATTATCTCCACTTATTTCTCAGTCCAGAAACTCATGAAACTTATAGGTGACAGATTTGTCATAAAGTTCTCTTTACCAACTAAAGAAAAGACTACCCTAACTCTTATGAACTGTCATTAGTAATTTAGTAAAGCTAGAAGGCAGTTCAGCCAAGTAGACAGAAAATTAAAACATGGGCAGCTCCTGATTGGAAATTTATTCATAGCAGGTAATGAAATAGCACAGTCAGGATCTCTGGCATTACTCAGAGTGAGAGATTTAATTCTGATAACTTTGATGATGGCACTTGAATCAGAGATTATAGATGGTGACAGGTTGTGACATATAGAGAGGATGAAAATGAGCATTAGCAAAGTATCTCTACAGAAGTGATTCTACATAAGATCATTTTTTTCAAATAGTAAACATAATAATTTCAAAAATTTCTATGGAAATTTTTCAAAGGAGAGGCTAGGCCTTAAACAAACCATGTACAATTTTTATGTTTGCCAGTGGATTATGATATTAAGCTGCTTATCAAAGGTAGTGGGTGAAAGAAAATTTACATTTAAAATATGAAATATAAATGGAAGTTTCTGATTTCATCTGGAAAAGGAACAAACTCAAAATTATAGATAGATTAGCTATCATATGAAGAGGGTAAAAGTAAAAGCCTGGGTTATTATGTATTTATATACTTGTAAAGGTTACTGATTAAATACACTCATAATATAGTTAAATAAAAGTATGTTATTTACATTTCTGAAGAATCATTTTTATTTTGAATTCATATTTTTTATATTTTCTAATTATCTATAATAGTATTCTTACTTTTATAATGAAAAGTATATTCATAAAAATTTGCCTATTTTCTCTATAACAGAAATATGGCTAAGGTAGATAATATTTCTACATGGACAGGTATTTAAGAGCATCTCTTGAATTTGTGGAGTAGCATATTCACTGTGCATAATAAAAATTTGTTATACATGAGAATTTTAAAACAATGCCTTAAAATTCTTCTTCTTTTTTTTTTTTTCTTTACAGACACTTTTGCTGTCGGGCACACGCACTCACCAGAGAAACAAAGAGAGAGACAAGAGATAGAAAGTGAGAAATCACCCCCAAGGGAGATGGCCACACTACAATCCTTTCTCTTCCATTCTCCTCTTGGGATCTTGGGCATGCATGCACATGCAGCTGGCGTGACTTTTAAGTCACCAAGTCTGGGACTCAAACCATGGTTGATATGTGAGAGTCCAGAGACGTAACCCTTGCACCATCTGCTGGTTCCAAGCCTTAAAAATCTTTAATATTCCTATTCCATGAATCTGTAACTGACCAATTGCTTATAGCAGAAATGACACTGTGCCAGTTTCCAGACCCAGGATATGTGGAATGATATTCAGCATGTCTTCTCTGGAACTCTTACCCTTTGATAAACCCAAGTCATCTGTTGAGCCAGCAACTAAGAAAGGCACTCAAGTGCTCTGTCTCACAGCCATGGCTAAGTTGCCTGCTGACATCCAGCACCACTGCCAATCATGAGACAATGATCCTAAGTGGCCGTTGCACAGCTAAGTGAGCAACCCCAACTTAAAAAAACATGAAGAGAAGAGCAATCTCCATTGAGGTATGCCCAAATTGCAAATTTGGGAACACAGCAAACAATTGTGTTTGTCTTAAGTCACTAGATAGAGTGTTGGTTTGCAGGAACAAATTGCCAAAAGAGCAACAGAAAGCTTTAATCATGAATGCTAAGGTTATAAAAATGTCTTTGGAATTGTACTAAAGCAATGTTAATTTATATATGTGTGTGTGTGTGTGTGTGTATATGTATATATGTGTGTGTGTGTGTGTATGCATATATGTATACACATATACATATACATAGAAAGAGAGCAAGAGAGGGAGAAGTAAGAATAAAGGGAGATAAATGTAAAAGGAAAACCCTGATAGATTTCATCAGGCTATATAAATTTTATCAACAGACTGTCAAATAAATTACTCAAAAATACAGAGAAAATAATTCAATAATTTCTAGCATCATTAGTATTTTATATACTGGAAAAACTTAAGTACTATGTAATTATTTTAAATGTGACTACACACTGGATTGTAGGATTTTATCTGTCTTGCTTACTTATGTCAAGACCAATAGTATAAGCCTACATAGGAAATTCTATAAAAATTGGAAATTTAGATATTGGCCAACTAGAACAACGTGTAGAATAATAGAAATACGTTTTAATGGAACACAGGAATATGTTTACAGAGGCCCAAGCCTATATAACAAAGCAATGTCATAATAATAACAATAAGCTAAAGCCATACTACACATTGTTTGCCAAAAGTATGTCTCTGAGAAAAATTTAGTTAATTTAATAAATTTAATATTGAATAACAATGTTCAATTTCTGCAATGGAAATGTTTTTGAAAACAATTATGTAGAATCCTTTTTCATTAGAAAACTGATAAGTTTAAATGCATTTTGGGAGTATATGCCACATAAAAATAAACTACAATAGTATTTTAATAAAGAATTATTTTATAAGATAAAAATCCACCCACTTAATAAATTTCTTTTTGTGGTGTAGTGCTACAGTACAATTGTTTTAAAACATAAATATTTTATCATTTAACATGTGTTGTCTTTTGTAAGGAACAAAGGAACAGTTCTTTTTTTTTTCCCCCCATAGTATGTGTGTGCTCACAGGAAAGAGACAGTAAGAGAGAACGTGAGAAAACACCCCATGGAGAAATAGCCGTGTCACAATCCTTTCTCTTCCAATATCTTCTTAGGATATTGGATACTCATACACATATGCCCAGTGTGATTTTCAAGCTGCTTACTTAGGGACTCAAACTGTGGTTGGCCAAGGGGAATTCAGTGCCTTAACCACGATGCTACCTGCTGACTACTGTAAGGAAGAATTCTACAGAATAGAATCAACCCTCAGTCATCCCAATGTGAACAAAAGAGTTCAATTAACTGTATTGTTTGTGCATACCCTGCTTTCATAAGATTTACTCAATAATACAATTTGTAGGGACCAGCAGTTAGTGTAATGGCTATGTCGCTGGATTCCCATGTAGTCGACCGCAGTTCGAGTCCTGGACCTAGTGGCTTAAACTCATGCTGGGAGTGTGTGCATGCGTGACCAAGATCCCGAGAGGAGAGAGGAGAAACGAGGAGAAGGGATTGTGGCATGGCCATCCCCCCAGGGGGTAATTTCTCGCTTTCTGTCTCTCTGCCCCTCCCTGTCTTTCTGGTGAGCACACGCGCCCTATAGCGAAAACCTCTCCAAACAAAGAAAAAGATAATAATACAATTTGTAGGGCTGGGTCATATAACGCGAACAGGTTCGGACCTTTTTATTTTCTATAAATCTACAGCATAAAAAGACAAAGTATAAAAAGCTGATGGAAATACAAAATATTCATATACAGGGAATTATACTAGCCCTAAAACTCTGCCTTTTCTTATCATGAAAAACTCGAGAATGAGAATGATTAATAGATTTGTGGCAGAGTGAAGCTAGGCCTGTGATCCTGCCAGCCTCATGTGCCTTTTTTCACATATTATCCTATCTCATCTCGCATGAGTGATTCCTATATGGCTAAGAACAAAATAATGTTAATGGTATAAAAAAAAAGTGAAGCAAAACAATGTTCTCAATATAAAAGTAATCTATGTTGAAAAATGGCAATTCTTTATTTTATAAAAGTATTTCCTGAATTATTTTTGTGCATTGCACATCTTCCAGGTATGAATCATGCAACATCCAAGGAACATTCATTAAACTTTTTCAAAAATATTTATTATAAAAAATAAGTTACACATTACTTGATACTATTTTAATATGCCTGAAATCATATTTTATAAAACTTTTACTTAATAAGGTTATGAGCTGATAGAATTTAAATTTCTGTCATATTTAGCTTTTTAGATTTAATCACCCAAAACATCCTTCTACTTAAACAGTAGCAGAGATCACATATGTGTTTAATCTTTATTTTTTTTAAAAACACTTGCTACATATTATGTGTACTTGCTGGAGAGAAACAAAGAGAGAGAGAAGAAAAGAAGAAATTGAAGAACCCCATCCATGGGAATTAGTCGCACCTCAATCCCTTATCCTTCATTTCTCCTTTTGAGATTTTAGACACACATACAATGTGTTTTTCAAGAAGATCAGACACTTGAATAGTACATTTGGCCACATGGGATCCAGCTGCCTTAACCACCGTGCCACTAACTGGCCCAATCTTTAATCTTATACAACTGCTTCAATATTAAGCCTTAGTCTTCTGCTCTGTAGCATGGCCATAATACTACTTACCATGTATAAGCAGAGTTGCTGTGCAGACTAATTCAGATAAAATATGTCACTAATACATCTAATACTTGGCACAACACCTGACACATATTATACACTAAGAATATTGGTTACTGTAGTTACAAATTAATAATTAAGCTGCCATAAAAATGGTAGTCTTACTGAGATATCAAAACATGAAATATGACTTTTTAAGATGGACTACTTAAAACAATGTGTATTTCTCAGGGTTGGCAGGTGGCATGGTAGTTAAGGGTGCTGGCATCCCACATGGCCAACTGTGGTTTCAGCTCCAGACCTAGCAGCTTGCATTCTCACTTTCTCTCTCTCTCTCTCCCTTTCTCTCTCTCTCTCTATCCTTTCTGGTCAAATTAAAACAAATTAATAAAGAAATAAAAGTTAAATATAACATTTATTAAAAAAAAACAATGTGTATTTCTCTATTAAAAGGAGATTTACTATAGTCAAGTCAACCTAATAGAAAGGTCTTTTAGATACTAAAAATAAAGTGATTCATATTAAAACTTTTAAATAGTAATGTAACAAATATATTTTAAATTATATAAGATCTATTAAACCAAAATTCAGTGCAGCATACCATATGCTATATATGCAAAACAAGGTAAAATTTCTTGTACAATTAAAAAGGGTTAAACTAAGAACATTAACTAGCAGAGAGAAAGCACACATACATTGAATTCGGTGAAATTCCTTGAAACTTATTTTAAACAAAGACAACATTTTCATATTATATGCACTTACTTGGAGTAGGCAAACAATCTACTATCCCAAAGATCATGTGTCCCTCTAGGTCCAGAATGAAAATAACAGGAATCGGTCCCATCAAACATATTCAGTCCATCTTCTGAATTTTTTGAAGCATGGCTATGAACCACATCTAAGAGGACTACAATACCCATTGAATGAGCTGTGTCAACAAGTTCTTTTAGCTCTTCAGGTGTTCCATAACGGCTAAAAGAAAATAGAAAAACAAGATCATATCATGTTGAAAACAAATAGCCAGTTGCCCATCAATGTTTCACCAGCACAGTACTAGATACTTTAAATATGCAAATGAAGTATGATTCCATGCTTAGATACAACTCAAGGAGGCTTAATATTTGTTAAGAAAATTTGATAGCCTTAAATAAAAATGAATCAGACTATTAAAAATAGATTTATAACCCTAAAAAATTCACATTTTGAGAACATAAATAGTATAACTCTATATCTCTATCCTCAAACCTTCAGATTCCATCTCCAAGCCTAGCTAGCCATGGTCATTCTAACTCATGTGTCTCCCCATTCCTCTAAATGCATACAGTGGGGCACCTTTATAGTATTCCTTTGCCCGTCCATGGTACCTTTATTTATACCACCCCTTCTGAATTTATCCTCAAACTAAAATGTTCTCGGGTATCAGTGGACCATGACAAGGTACCATGTCTCTCACCACCCAAGCAGTAGGAATGATCAGCTCACAGGGAACTGAGTTTATGTTAAAAGCAGTCTCCTAGTCTGCATGATCTAGAAAACAAAAGTCACTCCCACAGGAAGGACTTCCTTAACCTATGTAAAATCTCAGCATTACAGTCTTCCATAGCATCAGCTTTGCCCTTTAAATAAACAATTACCCTTAGGGGTCAATACAGTGGATCAGCAGTAAAATGCAACTCAGTGCTTTGCAATCCCACAGGAGAAGGCACCTGTCCAAGTCTGAAGAGCACCCTGCATATGTGGGATATGTGTGTGCCCATCAGGCAAGGCTGGCTAAAAGCTGGGAGTGGATTGTGGCATCAAGAACCTGTTGAGGTCTTTCTCTCTCAAGAAAAGAAACAAACAAACAAAACAAAAACCCATCAAATAAAAAACAATCGCCCTTGTCACTAATTATTTATTATATTTCTTCCTCACTAGACCATATGCTCCCTGAGAGCAGAGGTTGTGAACATCTGGTACCCCATGATACAGTGCACAGCTTAGAATACAGCAAGTCTCTGATAGCCAGCTCCACTAAGCAGCAAGAATTTTCTTTTAAAAATACTAATGATCATGTTATCGTCAACTTAAAATCATACTCATGCCTCCTACTGTCCCGTAAGATCACGGTCCTTATCATAGTCTCCTTCGCTGCCATCCTCTCTAATCTAGTTCCTTCCAATATCATAAGATTATCCTGTACAATCCACCCTATTCCTCTCTTTAACCCAGTAACCTAACCTTTTTTCCAGTCACTGAACAGCATGTTCAGTAAATGAACATGACCAGCTTCTGTGGTGCAGGTGGCAGAAAACTGAACTCCAGTGTTGGAAGCTATAAGGTCAACTATGGGTATAGGTCTATGGCTCAACCCAGTTGACCTGAACCACTCCAGGTAAATGAACATGCCCAAGATCCTAACCAGCTAGAGGGTTACGGAAGGGGACTACAGCATAACTAGACTTTGTTGAGGGTGTTTTTGACTCTCTCTCTCTCTCTCTCTCTGTCTCTTTCTGTTCTGCACATGTGCTATCTTAAATAAATTTAAATATGTATTTTTTAAAAAATAAATGAGGCTGGTTTTTTTATTTACTCATTCAACTATTCATGTCTTTCTTTGTTCGATAAGTACAGAATTATCTACCATATATCATGAAATTCTCTATGCTCTGGAGAAATCACAATTAACAAAATAACATCACTGTCCTTAGACATAGTTCAGAAGCAACAAAAACATAAGCAAGATATGTGGAATGTCAGATAAATATTATAAAGAATAAATGTTAGAAATGTTATGAAAAAAATGAAGAAAAGCCATTGGTGCGAAGGGCAGGTATACTATATTTAAACAGAGTCATCAACTGAAGTTTTACAGAGAAGAAAATATCTGAGCAAGGAGCAAGGCGTGAGAATATTTAAGGAGAAGAGCATTCAGGTGCAAGGACACTGGGGGCAAGAATGAACTATAAACATTAAGGAAGAGCAAAAAGGCTAGTGTACCTGGAGTGGAATGGTCAATAAATATGAGCCTAAAAAGACACACAAAACTCAGATCAAATGGGGCCTTACAAAGAAAGCCAGCCAGTGATGTGGTGGTTAAGGCAGCTGGATTCTACCTGGCTGACTACATGGTTTGAGTTCCAGATTCCACAGATTGAAAACAAGCTGGGCACATGTGTGCATGTGTCCCAAATCCCAAAAGGAGAGTCAAAGAGAAGAAATTGTGGTGTGGCCATCCCCATTGCGGGGAAATTCTCACTTTTGTCTCTCTGTCTCTGTGTGTGTGTGTGTGTTTCAGGCAACCACACATATCCTCAGGCAAAATTTAAAAAATAGGAACAATGTAAGGTATTTGGCTTTATACCAATAATAATAATAATAATAAACATAAGGAATCATTAGAGGGTTCTGGGATAGAGAATAACATGATCCTGTTTTCATTTTAAAATGATTACCCCAGCCATGGTGTAGAAAATAGACCATATAATTTGGTAAGATTAAGTTAGAAAAGAGAACAAGAAAAAAGAGTGACCAAAGAGCTATTGAAATAATTCAGGTAAGAGATAGTAGCAACTTGGACCAGGTTGCTAGCAGTGGGGGCAGTTGATGTAGCCAGATTTGGAGTTTGTTTTGAAGTTACAGATGGCTCGGTTTTATAATAGCTAGAGTGTAGGGAGGGACAGAATGGGAATAGTCAAGTATAGTGCCAAGATTTCTGGCTTGAACAATTGGAAGATGAAAACATCATTTATTAAATTAAAGATGACAAGAGGGGGCTGAAAGATAAGATCTCGAATGTAATCTTGGAAACATTAAGTTTGAGATACATATTAGAAATCTCATTCTCAAAAAGACACTGCCTGAAGTTCACAAAACAGACCAGGACTGGGGACTTACATTTGGAAAATGGCATATAAAGTGTATTTAAGCCATAAACATGGATAAGACTCCCCAGGGCACTGCATATGGATGTGGTGGAGAATAGAAGCAAGGAACGAACACTGGAAAATCCCAATAGTTTCTGACCATAAAAATGAGGAGGAAAGCAAATAGGATAAAAAGACCAACCACTTGCATGGGAAAAACAATAATGTGAGGGCTTAATATTCTGGAAGTCAAGGAAAAGAAATCTTCCCAAAAGGTGTTAGTAACCAATCATACCTAATGTTGCTGACAGTTCAAGAAAGCTAAGAATTGACCTTCATACTTCACTCTTACTGAAAGCAATTTCAGTTCAAAGGTAGATAGCATACTTGGAATGAGTTCAAAAAAGAATAGCAGCAGAGGGCTTAGAGATAATAAATATAGGTAATTTACTCAAGGAGAACTTCTGTAAAGAAAAGCAGGTAAATGAATAGCTATCATTTTTCCATTCTTGGAAAGTTATCTATATCTACATATGCCCACTCCACCCCTTTTCCCAGTCAATCTTTTTTTTTTGTTTTTTTGGTTAGTCTTTGCCATAGGGCAAAGGCACTCACCAGAGCGGAGTGAGACAGAAAGAGGGAAAGTGAGAAATCAGTACAGGAGGATGACCGTGCCACAATCCCTTCTCCTCCATGCTCTCTTGGGCTTTTGGGCACGCCTGCACATGCACCTCACCAGAGAGGAGTGAAACAGAAAGGGAAAGTGAGAAATCAGTGCAGGAGGATGACCGTGCCACAATCCCTTCCCCTCCATGCTCTCTTGGGCTTTTGGGCACGCCTGCACATGCACCCAGTGTGATCTTCAAGCCACCTGGTCTGGAACTCAGACTGCAGTGGGTCATGTATCTTCAAGCCACCCTGTCTGGAACTCAGACTGCAGTGGGTCATGTGGGAATCAGTCATCTTCATCACCATGCCTCCTGCTAGCGCCACCCAGCTAACTCTTAATCAAGTTTTACATCTCACAGCTTGCCTCTAGTCTAAACTTGTCAGACCCCAGACTCCGCTATTCCAGCACCTGTCATTTCTTCTTAGCTTTTAATTAAAGGCAGAAATCACAATATGTATGCTTATTGGATTAATATCTGTGAGCTACCACACTGTAACTCCATGAGGAAGAGCCAATGTTGGACTTGCTCAGTTTGTGGTCATTCAGATCAGCAGCTCTTTAATTGCTTAGGATCCCTTGGTGACTATCTACCCAAAAAGTCACATTCTTTAGATTTCGACCTGAGAGAAAGGGCAGTCCTTCTATTTATAGTATATATCCAAATAAGGGCCTTGTTAGTGATTTTCTTATATGAATCAACCTCTTTCCAGAAAACCAAAGTTCTCTGGGACCATAAGGTGGCCCTGGTGGTTAAGGTAATGGACTTTCACATGGCTGACTGTGGATTGAGTCCCATACTTGGTGGCTTGAAATTCATGCCAGGTGTGTATGTATGCGTGCCCCAAATCCCAAGATGAGAGTGGAGGAGAAGGGATTGTGGTGTAGCCATTCGCTATATAGGTGATTTCTCACTTTTCTCTCTGCCTCTCTGGCAAGCATACATGTCCTATAACAAAAATATTAAAATAACAATAATAATAATAATAATAATAATAAATTCTTCATACTAGCAGCTCTTGTAAGATATGAGCTTCTGACTAAAGTTTGCGTCTTCAAACAATTTCAGCAGGTAACTACTGAATCAATATATTTCATTAGAAAAGCAGCATTAAATCAGAGCCAACCTCTAAAACTAGATGGAAAGAGAACCTATGACCTTAGTAAAAGAAAATATGTTTAGCTTCTATTAACCCTTTTAATTCTAATAAAGATTAGAAAACAATGTCACATAAAATGTAAAAATTCACTTTAGTTTTAAACTTTTTGCTTAAAATAAAATTGGAGGGCAGGCATGATAGTGAAATGGTCACACAACATTCCACAATGATGAATCCACTCCTGGGTTCACTTCCTGATGAGTCCTTGTACACACCGGGCATTGTAGTATATATCCAAATAAGGGCCTTGTTAGTGATTTTCTTATATGAATCAACCTCTTTCCAGAAAACCAAAGTTCTCTGGGACCATAAGGTGGCCCTGGTGGTTAAGGTAATGGACTTTCACATGGCTGACTGTGGTTTGAGTCCCATACTTGGTGGCTTGAAATTCATGCCAGGTGTGTATGTATGCGTGCCCCAAATCCCAAGATGAGAGTGGAGGAGAAGGGATTGTGGTGTAGCCATTCGCTATATAGGTGATTTCTCACTTTTCTCTCTGCCTCTCTGGCAAGCATACATGTCCTATAACAAAAATATTAAAATAACAATAATAATAATAATAATAATAATAATAAATTCTTCATACTAGCAGCTCTTGTAAGATATGAGCTTCTGACTAAAGTTTGCGTCTTCAAACAATTTCAGCAGGTAACTACTGAATCAATATATTTCATTAGAAAAGCAGCATTAAATCAGAGCCAACCTCTAAAACTAGATGGAAAGAGAACCTATGACCTTAGTAAAAGAAAATATGTTTAGCTTCTATTAACCCTTTTAATTCTAATAAAGATTAGAAAACAATGTCACATAAAATGTAAAAATTCACTTTAGTTTTAAACTTTTTGCTTAAAATAAAATTGGAGGGCAGGCATGATAGTGAAATGGTCACACAACATTCCACAATGATGAATCCACTCCTGGGTTCACTTCCTGATGAGTCCTTGTACACACCGGGCATGAGTGCAGAGGACTGTGATACTGGATAACAGAGGCAGGGGTTGGATTACAACATGAAGGCCCTGCTGGGGGAGCATCTCTCTTTGTCTTTTTTTTTTTCCCCCTCTCTCTCTCAGTCATGGAATAAATAAATAAATTAATTTTTTTAAAAAAGAAAAAGATGGATATAATGAGTATTCCATTTTACCTTGAAGCTGCAAAGAAGCTTGTGACTTGGTAACCAAAACTGGCGTAGTAAGCATGTTCCATGATTGCCATCAACTGAATGCAGTTGTATCCTGCATAATCAAAGGTCAAATAGAGATTACAAGTCACATTTAAAAAATAAAATAAAGTCCTTCTTCTTAAGGCATTAAATTTTACATACAATTTAGAAACTTTGATCATTTGTAAAAGTTCTATTACATTAACATCTCGTGCTTGTCTGACCTTCTAATACAAAATCCGACAGTTTCTTAGAGGTATACTCTGACTAGCTATTTGAAATGTCACTTTAACAAGTAATAAGTGATATGCAAATTTATCTTAATTTGGCTTTAGAATATTAAAGATGGCAATCTGCATATGCTAAACTTCAGTTGCATTCTTAATATTCATAATGAAAATTATGAAAGCTAATAAAAGTACTTGATTCCATGATGTATACATTTTATTTTGCCTTTTTCTTTATATTTATTTTATATATTCAGTAATTATCACCAAATCCATTCTTCCATAGCTTTTATGCAGTCAGCATTAATGCTTCTACTTTCCCTCTTTTGCACTTATAAAATTATTCCAAAGTTGCACGTGTACACACATTTACATAAACACACACAGGACACACCACACTTCATTCTCTTGAATATGTTTTGCTCTACTACTTTGTGAAGTGACTCAAAAAGGTAGGTATTATATTTTTAAACATCCATGACATTTAAAGGGATTAACTAATATATTTTTAACATAAGAGAATAATGAGAGGAGAAAAAAACTTTAGCTTAAAAAAAACTGGGAAAATCAGGTTTATCTTTTTTAAAGTATAATTTGATACAACTTTCGAGTATGTTTTGATTTCTTTGAAGTTACATTTCAAGCCATACACAGAAAATAGTCTTATTCTATTCTCCATGTCCAACTCATATAAGATTTACAATTTTTATAAGGTTTCTATAAATGTTTATAAACAAACAAAAGTGTTGCATTAATTTCATTATTTTTGATTGATAATTGGTAGCTTCTAATATACATATTTTGGTACATCATTTATACTAGAAAAATAACAAATTCACATTTTGGAATTAAGGATTTGTAAATTTGAAGAAGAGTGTAACCTTTTCCACGATTTAATAATCTACTGAAAAGTTATTACTATTGGCTTTTTCTATTGGAAAAAAGTTAACTCTGGTCTGATGAGATTATGGAAACTTCCACTCAGATAACATAAATCAAACATATCTTATGACAAAATACAGAGGTTATAGTTTATTTCTCTATAATGTAATAAATATTATAAGCATTATTTTTATCAATTTGTAGTTTATTATTATTTTCAAGGCATTAATCACTCCTGAATTCATTTATGTTCCAAGTACTGGGCTAGACAATTAAGACACAAAGATAAATATAGGACAATCTTTGTGCTGTCAAACCTTCTGTGGAAAACTGGGTTGAAAGCAATTTATTACTCTATTATACTCCAGAACATCTCAAATCCAACAATATTAACATAATATTTACTAAATATAATTAATATCAAATTCTTCATACATTATTTGTTTCTGCAACCTGATTTTACCATCACAGATAATTAAGGCCTATACATATGTGAAAAATTTAACCGTGACCCACAAACCTCTTCTCTAGTCAAAAAATTGGACCCTTAGTAGAAACAGTATGATTAAACGTATTTTTATTTTCCTGTCTAGTCATTAGATCAGTGCTAGATATTCTCTGAAATTATGTTTTTTTAAAAAAACATTACCAAGAAAAAAAAATTACCTATACAAAGAAAAACAGCAAGTTGAAAGCATGCTGAACCAGTAATTCAGCACCATACCATTCACTCTCTCGGTAGTTCCCATGAAGACAGGATTTGCTCCATTATGGCCCAAGACATGAACACCCAGTACAAGGTGTCTCCACAGAAGATGTGACAGTAGTGTTTATTAACTAAGTCATCAAACAGGGGCTGTATACAATGACTCACACAAAATGGCATCCAAGAGCCTTACAAATACAAGAATCTTTCTT